CAAGGGCAATACAATCATAGCCAACCATTGTGGGCCACGTCTATGCCAGTTTAGCCCAACCAAGGGCAAAATACACAGGCTCAACCACCATGGACCCCAACCCAACCCAACCCAATTAGGGGCAATACGGTCAAACTCAACTTTCCCAAGCCCCATCAATGCCAATTCAGCCCATTCAAGGCCATTCAAGGCCATCTAAGGCAAGCCCAACCATCACAAGCCACAACTCCAATGCAACCCATCCAAGGGTATTCTTGTCCAACCCATCCCTCACCAATGCCAGTCCAATCAAACCAAACTCAGTTCAATCAAGTCCAAGTTCCAATACAAGGGGCAACAATAGCCCAACCAATCCAAAGCCAAACACCTTGGTCCTCTGCTCCAATACATCCACTAACCCAAAATTCCATGCAAGGGACAACCTTCTTACCTGTGACCCCAATCGACCCAGGGTTGGACCAACGGTTAGACCGCATAGAGCAAAGGCTAAGCAAGTTGCAAGGCAACAACCTTGACATGACTACTGGACATAGGCTACCTCCAGGATTTAAGTGGCCTGACATGGACGAATATGATGGGATAGGATGCCCAAGGGCCCACATCAGAATGTATCAACAAATACTAAGGCCCATAGGCTTAACTGATGAGCTTCTAGCCCAATCATTCTTAAGGAGCCTAACTGGACATGCTAAAACTTGGCTAATGAACACCGACCCTAGCCTAATGAAGACTTGGACAAGTCTAGTTGACGCATTTGTCAACCACTTCTCGTATAACACAAACATCCTATTGTCAAGGCGTAAACTAGAATTGGTCAAGCAAGGACCAAAACAATCATTCACATACTTAATAGCTAGGTGGAGAAGTCCTTAAGAGGCCTAGTGAAGAGAACCAAATTTCAATGGTCTTAAAGAGCTTGAATAAAGAATGTGCTAGCAGATTGACTTTGACTTATCATCCTACTTTTCAAGCCCTAGTTTGTGTAAGTTGTCAAGTGGAAGACTCTCTGATAGCCGGTAATGCATCCACCATCGAGGTATCACCAACAATTGGCATCTCATTTGAAAATGAGTAGATCACAGATGTCGAGTCATTATAAATTGAGGTGGACCAACTAGGGAGTGAGATCTGAACTCAAGCAGCAACCTATAGTGTATCACCTCCTAACAGTCAACCTCAACAAGCAATCTGTGAGAATAAGCTGATCCAAGCTCTAGAATACCAACATCAAATTGATCCTCAAGGCCCAACAAAGCTGCAACAAGCCCTACCAAGCCATCAGGTCAACACCATGCAACAAAAGAGCCAACAGTTTGATCCCACCAAGTACATCAAGCCCATCCAATCAAAGGCTAAAGAAGACAAGGCTTTTGATCCAACCCAACTCATCAAGCCGATTCAAATCACAAAAGTCGAGTCGTTAGAAATCGAGGTGGACCAACTAGGAAGTGAGCTTCGAACTCAAACAGCGATGTATAGTAGTACATCACCTCCAAAAAGTAATCATCAACAAACAATCTGTAAGGATAAGTTGACCCAAGCCCTAGAAGACGAGCATCAAGTCAATCCTCAAGGCCCAGCAAAGGAGCATCAAGCCCTTCCAAGTCATCAGGTTAGCACCTTGCAGTAAAAGAGTCAACTATTTGATCCCACCAAGTACATTAGGCCTATCCAATCTATGAAGGTGTTATCAATAGCCAAGGAAGATGAGGCTTTTGATCTAACAAAACTCGTCAAGTTGATCCAAAGGTTAGGAGAAGAACCCCCCAAAATGGTAATGCACATTATCACTGTGATGCAGCAAAAAACTAAAGAAGATCAATCGTTCGATCTAACTCTATTCATCAAGCCCATAAAACAAATAGACATCGACGAACTAGTTCAGAAAGAACATAATGTGCAATCTGACCAACTAGACTTAGAACAATGTTCTATTGTCTTAATTCAAGTGATTCCCACAAACCGGAGGCAAGAAAATCTTAGTACATGTCTAGACCAAGGGCAAAGTTCTACCCTATAATCTTAGCAAGCCACCTCTGAATTTGGTATAGGAGATCAACATGGTATGAAGCAAGACATAGACATATGGCATGGTACATGGAAAGTGGAGCAAGACTCAAATTGGGTCGATCAGGACCTCATCACTGAATCAGAAGGTTGTCATGATGCATGGAAAGAAAAACTAGAATTGAATCAAGTTGACATAGATCTCATCTCAAACATAGACATAGAAGACTGGCATGACACAGGGCAAGTAAACCAAGAGCCTCAACAGAACAATATAGAGCCTATCCTCGTCATGGAAATAAAGGATTGGCAAGGCAAAAGGCAAGGAAAGAGAAGCCAAAATTGGGTTGACCAAGACCCTACCACTAGGAGAGAACCAGAAAGTAGGAAACATCAAGAGCAGGTCAACCATGACCCTAATCGGCCTAACTTGGGGGTAACTGACAACTTGAGTCTAGAGATGCAACATGGAACCCATCATGCAGATTGGGATAGCCATGACCTAGATCAGTTTGATCTTAAGCCCATCTATGACTCAAATGTAGAATAAATGACCCAAGATCTCCTACAAGAAATTAAGCAAATCAAGTTTCTCCTAGGCTGCACTGATTTAGATCTTGTCATTAACCCGGACATCAAGGTAGAACTCTTCGATCACCAACAAGGTATGCCTCTCAAACCTCCTGGCCCACCATGGATGACACCCAAGTCCATCTTTGATCAAGGCCTGAGTCTTAGGCCTCAAGACTCCCTACAATTACTTGAGCAAGGTTGCCTGCTTCCTAACCCAACTACGGGTAATCTGAACATTGATGCACCATGGGCTAGCCTTAGGCCCACATTTGACTTTGACCTGAGCCAAAGGCCTCACAATTTATAACAACAATTTGATTCGTTGGATTCACCATGGGTTGGACTTCAGCCTGCATTTGTCCTTGGCTCAATCGAAGGGCCTCACAATTTTTCAGAACTACTTGACCCACCATGGGCTAATCTTCAGCCCATCTTAGGCATAGGCCCAAATCTAGGGCCACAAAACTTCTAGATACATCAGAACTTTAAGAACAACTCCCTTGCTTCAAGCATGAAGCGGTCTGACCAAGGACCCGTTATTGACTTCGGCCCATGTCTGGAGCCTTCACATGTTTTGTAGGATGAAAACACTACCAGTCAAAGAAAACATCATGATCCAACTATATCAGCGTCACCTAATACATCAACACTCTCAATCAAACAAAATACTAAGTCATGCATGATCCCCTTTTTCTGGTGGTTGTTTCTCATCTTTACTTTCATCCCTTTATGTGGCATACTTAACAACTTTCATATTCAAATTATTTTTGCATTTCTTCACTATTTTTCCACATCCCCTATGCACTTAATTCAACTAGGATCCCCCATTAGATATAATGAGTCAATTATTCTTCCAAGTACATTCATCTTCAACCTTAGAGACTCATTTTTGGATTTAAAGTGCACGAATTTCCTCAAACATCCCTCTTTGGGATTCTTTATCTTGATCTTTGATCCAAGTGGTTACCATCTTTCAAAAGGGGATAGCTTTTCTTAGCATCATTTTTCAAAAAGAAAACAAAAAAAATCAAATATTTTCTTAAAAACCAAAAAAAATAAAAAAGTTTCATAATACAAAAAAATAAAAAAAAATCAAAATCCCCAAAAAATAAAAAATCCTCAAAATCAAAAACTTCAAAAATCCAAAAAATAAAAAAGAGTTTTCATTTCCAAAAAAGAAGTTGGGACCCCTACACACCACAGTCAACAGCTGTTCTGAATTGTGGATCGGATTAGTCGACACTCACGATGGCGTTCCACACCACATTTTTTGACTTCATGTATTTCATATACATTTTATGGGAGATCTACATAGTCGATCATAAATGTCTAATTTTTGCATTTTATATAGTAAATAAATTGAAAAAACAGGCATCAATATGTGGACAACATTTGCATTTTTTAAATAATTAAAAAATACTATTTTAAATATTAAAAATAAAAAATTAATATTTTAAATATTATTTTATTGATAAAAATATTAAAAATTAATATTGAAATAATGAAAAATAGTTGAAAAGGAGAACTGTCGGACTTGTGCTAGAATTAATATTAAAAATTATTATTTTATTGATAAAATATACAAAATTTAAATTTTAAAAATTATTAAATAAATTAAATAAAATGAGAGATGATGTAGGCACAAATGGTCTAGACCAATCGCAGGACTCACACATGTTAGGCGGCACATGTCAGGGCTGAGCCAATCAGCTAGCGCACACTACCCAACTTGGCGCCAGGCACGGGGTCACTTGGCGCTATTAGATGGCCACACCCCCGCGTACAGATTTAATCCTCGCCATCCGAGCTTACCTACCTCCAAGCATGTTCAAGTATAAATAGGAGGCAACCCCCTCCAAGTAAAGGATCGAACACTCTAGCTCTCTAGCTTACTCTGGAGATTTCTTGCGGTGACCTTATCTAGGTATTTGCACCTCAGACCTCATCCACTTCATACCTTCTTGCTAACTTAACCGTCGGAGTCCTTGCCTCGGGTCTTCACCCGAGGCCTTTGACGTTACCATTCCTTGTAGAGATGACCTTGGAATCCTTATCTACCTCGAATACCAGACGTCGCAGACCTCAAACCTCAGATCTTGGATCTCCCCCATTTTCGGACTCTGCTTTTCGATCATGCCAATCCTCAACTTCTAGCACCTTGTATCCTCTTGGGCTTAGAAGTGAATTGGCAGTGTTGATTTCGACCAATCCGAGAATCAAGAAGAATAATTAGACCAATATAACATGTGCATTATTTTAAAACTTTTCCACAAACTATCCACACCATGGTGTGGACCATCTACCAGAAAATAATATGAACAATAAATTGGGATATAGTATGTCTACATATTTTGTAGATGGGAACCGTCACATATATCAGACCACCATATCTAACCGCCCCCGTCCATCATATTTACACACTATCGAACCCCACCTAATCTAACATACGAATACATTTGGTCTCCCCAAAATGCTGGGAATTTCGTACGGGGAGCTCTTCCTCTTGCTTGGAGCAACAGCTGCTCTAATTGGTGCTCTCTCTCTCTCTCTCATATGAACAGACGTTATAAATGTTAGGGAAATTCTTTCAGGAGTTTTCCGTCTCCAGATTTTCATTGAATTTTTTGGATTCGGAATGTTATTCTGGATTGAGTTTTGAAATTTCTTTTTGATTTTCGTGGATTTTTTTAGTTTCCAGCGTTTTGTCATTCCAGTTAGGTCTTTGAGCCTCTGTTATATTTTTCCTTTTCTTCTGATAGATGATTTTGAAAGTCTTTTTTTTTTTTTCGCGTTTTCGCCTAAATCGTTTTGGCCTTTTGGATTCTTACTCTTCCAACTTATTCTCTAAAGAAATAATTGGGTTTGGATGTTTCATTGATTTTAGGTCCAAAGGATCTCCCTGTTATCGCGAGAACTGCAGGGAGGTTAGCCGGCAGAGCAATTGGATATGTTCAATTGGCTCGTGGACAGTTCGAAAATGTTTTGCAGCAGTCTCAGGCTAGGCAGGTATTCTCTTGATTTTTTTTTTTTTCTGTTATCGGGTTAAATTCTCAAACAAATGAGATTGCTTGTAAGTAGCAGCTATAATGCACTGCTGCACTGAGATTTGTAAACTTATAAGATTGATAAAATTAGTCCTGTTTCTTATAACTATTGAATCTTTCACTAATACTCTACCTAACAGGTACTTTTTTTTTCTCTAAATCTTGTCTTATATCCGCCATTATTTCTAAATTTCAGTTAGAAGAATTTGATTCTATATTATGTTCTATTTAAATGTAGGTCCACAAAGAACTGCAAGACACAATTGCTCAACTTGAAGCAATTCGTTATGAAATACGGAGCATATCCATCATGAATCCTGGTCCATTGACTCGTAGGCTGATGGATAATACGGAGATTTCACCTTCTAGTAATGATGGTATTATAAATAACTTTGTATGAATTTTTATTCTTCCATGCCAAAGTTTTCCCCATTGTCTCTTCCTCCTTATGCAGTATTTTCTCAAATATTTTCTTTTGTGAGAGCCTAAATTGGCCATATGCATTTCTTTGGTGCTAGGCAATATTGTGCCTGAGAAGATTGGTGGAGAAAACAAGTCAATAAATGCCATCAGAAAGGTTCTTCTTGTCAAACTTATTTTTATTCAATATGAATTTATGGAAATCCATTTTTGGAAGTATCTTAATCTGTTTAAACTTCTTTCACCAGGATTCTTCTCCAACAACTTCAGGTTCGGCTGATTTGCAGAGTCAAGCAACTGCTTATGCAAGATTGGCTGAGTCTGCTGCTATTCAAACTGGTTCCTTAAAGATTGGAGATGTAGAGAAGCTTAATGGTGAAGATGATCTTTTCACTGTTCTTCCTGTCTCTGCTGAAAGCACGGGATTGCTACCTAAGCATAAGGGTAATAAACTGTCTAATATGTTTGCTTATCAAGTATATTAATCTTCCCATATTCAACTTATTTGACACTTCAATTGCACTGTCTTAACATGGTCTTTGCAATGCCAACATAGTGGAAAAGGATGTATTGTATAAACCACTTTAGTCATGAGCCTTGGTTGTTCTTCAGTCTACAACTGATGAAAGAAGTTTGTGCTTCACTTTTCAGGCCTCATTGATAAAGAAATGATTCAAGTCTAAAGATATAACATTCATATGTAATATGTCAATATTATAGTTGTCACAGCATATAAGAAATCCTAGGTGTTAGTGGAAGGTCTAGATGTCACATACATGATAGAATTTAGAAAAAAAAAAAACTAAGTTTTACATCAACTCTCTAGTTTTATATGTTAATGATCATGCAAATCAAAAATAGAAATGCTCTTTACTAAATATCACTTTCACATCAAAACATAATAACTCATCATTTCTATAAGACAATAGCATTTTAAACCAAGATTCAAACTATCAATACACCTGATACACCGGAAGATGTGTACCAGGTTTTTCAATCACACACCTCCCATTTTTTTAGTTTTTCTTTCAAAAATAGGTCAGGGGTTGGTCATAGGCCTGCCTACCCCCTGAAACTGATCAAAACCCCAAATCCCTTTTATTTCAAGTATTGGGGGTCTGCTGATCGAGCATATCATATTGAAATTTTGAACCTTGTTTTAAACAATAAAAACATGACATGAGTAATACATTCAATATATGATAGGATGTAAAGCATGCTGATAAGATGTGCTTATAATAATATTATTATAATAAGGTTTGTGCCTTATATTTTTGTTGCCTAGGAAGGCATCTAGTCATCTAGATGGACACCTTTTCAATATAACTCAAGGCTTTCAGGCTAGGTGACACCATGACAACTGTGATCAATATTAATAAAACATCAATTCTGATATATGTCAACTTCAAGCATGAAACATATTTAACTTGCAAAAATAGCTAGTATAAGACTTGTAAGTGGTTCTAAGAGGGTAGTCTAAGTTACAAAGATGAAAGTGGTGAACTGGAAATTGAGAGGATTGGAGAGTGACAGATAGAGAAGACTAACAAAAAGTTCATTGAAACAAGTTAAACCAGATTTAGTGATGATTCAAGAGTAGAAGCAAGATGGACAAGGACTATATGGAGAGGTGAGAACCTAAAATGATCTTTTGCACTTTCATGGGGGGCTTCAGGTGGAATAATAACTATGTGGAACTCAACAATATACGAGTGTGAAGAGAAGCTAATATGTTCTTTTGCACTTTCATGGGGGCTTCAGGTGGAATAATAACCATGTAGAACTCAATAAAAGTGTGAAGAGAAGCTAATAGGCAGATAATCAGTTTCAGTCAAGTTGAGGAACATAGAAGATGGATATTTAAATGGATTTACTCCATTGTTTATGGACCTAACAGATACAGGGAAAGGGAGGAGTTCTAGGAGGAATTATATGCGATCAGAGGTTTGTGGCAAGGTCCATGGTGCATAGGCAAGTACTTCAATGTAATAAGATTTTCTAGTAAAAGAAATAACCCAAACCAATGCATCACCACTAGTATGAGAAAATTCATTTTCTTTATCAATACTTGTGAGCTGAAAGATATTCAGTTGAGGGGGGCAGACTACACCTGGTCCAATTTTCAAGCAAATACAACTAGGGGTGCTCACGGTTCAGTTTTTTTATTATCCGAACCGATGCAACTAGTTAACCGGCCGACTGGTTAACCGGTGGACCGGTTAAACACGGTTCGGTTTTTTGTTTCTTTTTTTTTAATACAGTCAAAATTAAAATAAAAAAGGGGTGATTTGCCAGTGCCAGAATTACCTAAAAGAGCTGCAGTGAGAGGTGGCGATTTGCTAGTGCCAGAATGGTTGCCGACTTGCCGGTTGGTGGTTGCTGACTTGCTGTCGGCCTGAACTGTTGGTGGTGACTGAGAGTGAGAGAAATGAGAGAGAGATGAGTGCTCGACTGATTGTCACTAAGTTAGAGTCTTAGAGAGAGTGACTGAAGTGAAAGAGATGAGAGATTGAGAGAGATGAGTGACTGAGATCGAGAGAGAAGAGACTGAGTGAGTCTAAGTGAGTGTTGAGTGAGAGAGAGAGACTGAGAGATGAGAGATTGAGAGCCACGGTCTGAGAGAGAATGAACAGAAGTACAAAACTGAGACTTTGAGAGAGTTAGAGAGATGACTGATGAGAGATTGAGAGCCGATGAACAAAACTGAGAGAGATTAGAGTGAGAGACACCGTCAGTCGGAGGCCGTCGCCCGTCAGTAGGTCTGACCTGTTGGGGAAGAAGAAGATAGAAAATTTGAAAATGACTAAGTCTAAGAGAGAGAACAAAGAGTGAGAGACACTGAGATAGTTGGCCGGTCGTCGGAGGCTCGGAGCCTGGAGATCGTCAGACGTCGGTGACTCGGTGGAAGGGCGGAGGCCGTCAATCTGTTGGGGAAGAAGAGAACTGAGAGTCTGAGAGAGCGAGAGAGGGAAAGAAAGGGGAAAGGCGGAGGAGGCCAATTATTAGGTTAAAATTGAATCTTTATTCAATTTTAAAAATATAATATATAAATTATATACATTATATAATATATATATTATTAGTATATACCGGTCGGTTCGGTTAACCGTCGGTTTTTTTAAGAGGTTAACCGAAACCGAACCGAAATTAGCGGTTTTTTATTAATATCTGATAAAATTTAGATATAGTGTCCGTATGATTTCAGATAAGAAGGAGAAGAAGAAGAAGGAGGAGAAGAAGAAAAATAGTTTCGGTCGAATTAGAGAGAAAAAACATATCTTCTCTAGTATGCCATTCTTTATTTACACTTTTCTAAATAAATAAGAATTACTATTATGCCCTCACTTAAGTGAGAGCCACATCAGCTAAACAATTAACATGTAACTTAATATAAAAGGTCTATACTACCCTTCTACAGTCGATTCTAACACTCCTCATGAAGCTGGTGAGTATATGTCATATAGTCCCAGCTTGTTACATATGTAGTCCACTCTTCCTCGATTCAACCCTTTGGTAAATAGATCTGCCCATTGATTTCCTGTGTTCACATATGTTGTACTTATCATTCCATTAAGCACCTTCTCACGTACAAAGTGGCAATCAACTTCTATATGCTTCGTCCTTTCATAAAACACTAGATTAGAAGAGATATGAACTGCAACTTGATTATCACAATATAGCTTCATAGGAGTGTCAATCGAGTATCTCATCTCCTCTAGGAGATGCTTCAACCACACTAGTTCACATGTTGTGTGTGCCATGGCTCTATATTCAGCCTCTGCACTACTTCTTGCAACCACTGTCTACTTCTTACTTTTCCATGTCACTAAGTTCCCACCAAGAAAAGTGCAATACCATGTAGTGGACCTTCTATCAGATAAGGAACTGGCCCAATCAGCATCCATGTATCCCTCTATCTCAAGGCTTCCTCCACTCTTATATAACAAACCACGACCTGGAGCTCCCTTCAAATACCGCACAATCCTTAGGACCGCCTCCCAATGTGGAATTCGAGGATTCTGCATAAACTGACTCACTACACTGATTGCAAATGAGATATCAGGTCGAGTGATGGTTAGGTAATTTAACTTACCCACCAACCTTCTGTACCTTCTTGGATCCTCAAACTCCTCACCAACATCACTACTCAACTTAACATTCGGTCCCATGGGTGTTTCAGCTGGTCTTGCACCTAACAACCCTGTTTCTTCCAGCAGATCAAGAACATATTTCCTCTGGCACAAATTAATACCATTCTTGGACCTCGCTACCTCTATTCCTAGGAAGTATCTTAATTTGCCAAGATCCTTTGTCTGGAAGTGATCATGCAAGTAAGTCTTCAACCTATCAATCCCTAGTCTGTCACTGCTTGTGATAATAATATCATCTACATATACCACCAATAGGATCTTCCCAGCATTGGATTCATAGCTGAATACGGAATGGTCAACCTGACACTGTTTCATTCCAAACTTCTTCACCACTTCACTAAATCTCCCAAACCATGCACAGGGAGATTGTTTAAGTCCATAAATAGCCATCTTAAGTCTACATACCTTGTCACCCTCCCCCTGAGCAACAAACCCTAGTGATTGCTCCATGTACACTTCCTCAAGGAGATCACCATGTAAAAAAGCATTCTTGATGTCAAGCTGAAACAAGGGCCAATCAAACATAGCAGCAAGAGAAATCAGAACACGAACCGACCCAATTTTGGCAACTGGAGAGGTGTCTGTGTAATCGGTACCATATAGATGTGAATAACCTTTGGCAACTAACCGAGCTTTCAACCGTTCAACATTCCCATCAGGTAAGTATTTAACCGTGTACACCCACTTACARCCCACAACATGYTTACTAGACGGAAGAGTGGTGAGGTCCCACGTATGAGTATGAGTCAGGGCCGAGAGTTCTTCTTCCATTGCTTGGTGCTGCCCTGGAGAAGTGAGAGCTTCCTGGACATCCTTGGGAACAGAAACAAAGGATAACATAGAAACAAACTGGTGATGGGAAGCCGAAAGGTAGATATAGAAACATAATTGGAAATGGAGTGAAGAGTGCAACTGCGTTTACCTTTCTGCAAAGCAATAGGGAGACCAAGGTCAGAAACGGGGGGTGGGGCTGGGTGGTAATAACTGCCGGATCTGTCGACGGTGACGAAGCTGGAGGAGGAGCCGATGCCTAGCGATGTGTATACACTTGTCAGATAGGTGTTAGTTCAACATGTAGCTGCACTGGAGGCAAAGACTTGGTCACAACTAGAACAAGGGCAACAGGGTCTTCAACTGGAATTGGAAGAGGAGGTGATATCAACGGAAGAGAAGAAACATCCGACCCGGAGAAGAAAGGAACAAACTCAAAGAATGTAACATCAGGACACACAAAAGAACGCCGAGAACTAGGATTATAACACTTGTACCCTTTTTGAGTCCTGGAATAGCCAA